GCCAGATTGCAACACTGGGGTTGCCGAATCCAGCCAAATATAAAAGGCAGCCCTCGTACAACTGTTGATTGTCTGTTATCTCCCTCCCTTCACGATGGACGAATTCCGAGGAAAATGAGGGAAGGGAACAGACATTGTAGCAAAAAGAATTTTTTCATCGCTGTAGGGTGCCCTCACGGAACAGCATTGGTGTGCAAAACCCATCACTTGGTCGCCTTCGATCACCGATTGCTGATTTGTCCCGTTTTACGCTTACTGTACCGCCTTTTTTAGTTATGGGACATTGCAAAATCACTATTCCTGAGATGTTTTATTGTGCTGACTAACTGCTGTTTACGCCGCAACCTGGGTTCCAAAGTTATTACTATTTCTATTGGTTGGTCTCAGTGCCTGTCGCCTACCTCACCCCACTTCCTTCCATGGCAGCAAAAATTTTTCCGTTGCTACACCTGCCCTTGAGGATTACGGAGGAGGTATTTAGCATAGGATACACACTGTTCTGCGAAACGCATCAAGGCCGGTCGCTGTGTTAGGTGGGCCAAATTTGGACCAGAAGAAAATCTCGGTTGCTGGTTTTCCCCGTTTAGCGCGCTATTTGACGCCTCTTTTTTTAGTTTTGAAGTGCTGCAGAACTTCTATTTCTGGAACTGCTTTATTATGACAGCTGGTGTTCAACGGTGCAGTTCCCATTCCTTAAGTTATGACTACTAGTTCTGATAATAGATCGTAGGAGCCTATCCCCTCTCCCTCTCCTCAACGCCAAAATTTTGAGAAATGTAGTAGGTTGTTTCGGGGGAGACTTGGAGGAAGGAGTCCTGAAGAAGGGTTGCACTGATACCGCTGTCCGTCCCGATCCTGCACCCTGATTAAGCAAAACCTACAGTGACCAAAAACCTCTACAGCCTCATAACCATATTTTGTGAGTGTTGACCTGCTCTATTCTCTGTCCATACTCTATTATGAATACAAGTTACCACCCACTTCTCTCCAAGAACCCGCTGCAGCTTGTGGCAGGCGGTACACAGTAGTTTCACACACCTGAACTAGCTTGCTTGATGGGCCGTCGCTGTTGCAGTCGTTGAAGAAGCAGTTCTTTCTTACGTGCTATCGCATCCGACGATTCACTAGAGGCGGCATCATCCAGCATTTCATTCATTCAAGACTCAAAACAGATGGGTATGATAGCCCCGATCTATCTGTAATGCTGTGTACTTCAATGATTACCAACACATTCCACGCTGATCGTATGGGCGGAGATAGTCAATCATTTGGGATTTCCTGTTTGCTGCATCAACTTCGTCTTACTCTCTTAAAAGGGTGAGCGCACCAGTGGCGAAGGCACAAATAGTTGACCGTCTCCGCCCAAGTGATCAACGTGGACCGCTACACAACGTCTCACTATTTTTCGGTAGAACGGAGATACCCCCACTAATCACCACAGTACAATTCTTTCCAGCATGAACATTTATTCTGAATATGATACTACTATCAACATACAACTTGAAAAAGCAATTGTTCTACGCTACGCTTTCTAGAATTTATTGAATTTTCTCGTATTTAATATACTGAGTACGTTTCGGATACCATGGCAGGAGAATCTGCGAGAATGGGCGACCACTTCCTGAAAACAAAAGCCGTTTCGAGCTGTCAACGAGCTATTTTATAAAAACATTCGAAGCTTCCAGGTCAATAATCGCGGACAGGTCTATTAAGGGGGTATTCAGAGGACTCTCTTTGGAAGAAACAAAACTGCCACTATGGGACTGCTCTTCTACAACAGAACATATTGACTCCCTCCCACCCCCCTCCCCCGAAACAGCTTCCTCCATGTAAAAACTCCTCACATATATTACAACAATCGCAGTTTTGCATAAGACGTTCTAAATGCCCCTTTCCATCCCTCAAGTTAACCTGCCCTTCAGCGGGAATACGGAGAATAATCAAAAAATGGAAAATTTGATCACAAGAACTAAGTTACTTTTGTATTTTTTTCGAGTGAAACTTCCTAGATTACAGGGCTTTTGTCGACCGTGACAATCGGGGTCCAAGTATTTTTTTTCATCTCAAATGTATTCCATTCAGCAGCTGAAGGGAGACGAAGCGTAACAGGAAAACACAGTCAGGAAATGAAGGAAGAGAGATTTCGTTTGTGAAGTATCTTCGAGACAAAGCTTCCCATGGTAGTTCAGACTCCTGTTGAGGAAATCCTCGAATAATGTGAAGCGGCGCACTTGGACGCAGTTTCGTTCGTGGGGAGGGAGACGGGGCATGTTGCTTTTTCGAGTCCGAGAACGCTTCCCGCTGAACTGGGTCTTTGTGAAGCGAGACCAAGCCCGTCGAGTCACCCACAGTAAATTGTTTGTGATGATATTCCACTGTTTTGGGGTAGTCTAAGAAATGCTGCGTGGTTATGATTCGTGTGTGGAATTGCCCTCTCGTCGCTGAAGGGCGCCCTTGAGTTTTTTACGCTCTTCTTGTTTATGACGTCTTCCAAAAGAAATTTCCAACACTTAACATGTCCGACGTTTTGAGGACAGCAACACGAACAGAAAGTTAAATTAACAAGCAATCCGGAAGCAATTGTTCACTTATAAAGTGAACTTCACCCCTATTTAGTCTGATAGTAACGCTTTATGTTCACCACAACCAATACATTGAAGAACCAGTAACCAAAGACTCACTGTCTTTGAAATGATCGAAGTCTTCGGGATGTAGCTCCATGTAGTGCTGTATGACAGCATCTCTAGTCTTCCAATGACGCTCTCTTAATTTGCCCATTCCATAGCCCGCAGCAGTTCCTATTCCCAAAATTGTGAGACGAGGGATGAGCGCTGAAAATGGTCGTAAAAACCTATGTTTCCTATTATTTTATTCATAGCGGCGATGCTACTATAATACAAAGGTACTACACCCAGGCAATCATCCTGACTTCCCTCTCCCCCTTTATTACAAAGAAGGGGAGTAGAGATAATAATATAATAAAAAAAACACTTCGTTCCTGGAGTGGATCATCGAAGTCTTCTTCACACAGGGTGGCAAACTATATAAGGACCCATGAGGTAATTATTGGGTTACTAAGATGTTCCTTTATGAAGACAAAGAAGCACTTCACCCAAACTCCACGGTAACGACAAGGTGAAGCCAACCGTCATCGCTATTGAGCTTGAGACTGCCTACAGTAACCGCACCAGCCTGAAGTAGCTGTGTATTATTCACACTCGAGTCACTTGCGCTCAGACTCTTGGGGAGTGCCGCAATAATGGTGGAGGAAACCGCTATGGTCCACGATCTGTATTTCAAGACTCGACCCTGACGTCTGACAGTCAGCTATATCGTCAAGCCGTAAGAAACCCAGGCACGTCGGTTTGACTGAACCTTAAGGTACAGAGGCTAAGGCCAGTGTCTGTTGTGGCCCATTGCTCTGTCATTTCGTGAGAAAAAGTTCTAGAAGTACCACTCATGAGCGAGTCTTTTTTTATCCCACCCTCTATTCGACCGTGACAGGGATTTATCACTGAAAAATCATCAAATCAAAACTTAAGTTAAACCAACGCGAACAGACTGTTACAAAATGGAAAGCGGTAAAAAAACCAAAAATGGAAAGTTGGTAAAAGTTCAATGAACACTTACCGAAATAGAATGGCTTTTTGTTCCATATGTCGTAAAGACGTGCAGTAACTAACATTAGGCCAAACATCGCAGCAGCTCCCTGGAAAGCTGATCGCATACAACCCATTCCAAGAAAAGTGCTTCTAGTAGTGCAGAAAAGCATAACGAGGCATTACTCAGAACCTTGCAAGATATTAATGCAAAAAAAGGCGCGCTTGCGCACTCCTTCCATGCATCTTGCGGAATTCTGAGTGACGCACTTTGAGAAGATTCTTTGGAATTGCGTAATTTCCTAAAAATTTATAGTTTCACGCCACATCACTTAATCTTCAATTTCGACGATGCATGGGATCGATGATTAGAAAATCACAACGAGAAACCTAATCCCTAAGAAAAACTGTAAACACGCAGAGATTCTACTACACCTTCTCTTCCGAGCAGGGCACGCCCTGCCGGTGGGGAAATTTTTCGAAAATTCGAACTCTTTCCTTACCCATCCTCCAACTTTTCCCAGCCTTATACAGCCCACATTTGCCAAGATTTCCGAAGAAAAACTCCAATTTTCGCCCAAAGTTCCGCCGTATAGGTGTGGGAGCAACATGTGAGACCAGTGAGTGGATTTTCGCGGGAAACCGTGAAAATTCAGCAACCGGAAACTTTTTTCGCAGCGCGGAAAGGTTCTCTAAAGGGCTCCACTACGACTCGCTTTCTCTCCACCAGCCATATACGCCCTCTCCCAACTGGGAGGACGGCGCCTTGCTGTGCAAAGTAGTCTGATTGTGGATAAAGGTTTCTTGCCTTGTTCACTGTCTGTTCTCCCCTTTGCTCATTCTCGACAGTGAATTCAGGGCATATCCTACTGTTAGGGGAAAGTTCTACGAATACGACTTCCCACCTCCGATGTTCTCCCTCCGTTACGACCTCCTCTGATCTTCCACTAATCTCCGGTCTTTCTACTACTTTCTCGAAGTTTTTTTTTCCAAAATTCTTCACTCCTTCCCAGAAAAAAAGTCCTACCGAGGGGGGAAGGGATACAGCGCACTTGAAACAGGAAACTGAGGAATGTCTGCAACCTTTTTGTTCACGGTTGCAAACAAACCGTGAACATCTTTTTTTCAGAGCAAATAAGACCCCACCCAATCCTTTGACTCAATTGCACTTTCATTACAAATCTTTCAAAATTTTATGAGTGAATATTCATGATTTATACATTTATGAGTAACTCCAGCGTAACGTGTTTTCTCTATCTCCTTTGCCTGTTGTTTTTTGTCACAGCACTACTATTGGACGAATAAATGAGTAATGAATAAAAAGTAAAGAAACTTTCACATTGTCAAGGCGAACATACCTGAGCAGGTCGGGACCAAGTGTACGGGTCCATAAGATCAACTTCTCGTAGCCCTGCACGGAGATACTTCTCCCGTCTCTCATATTCTTCTGGGCTCACCCAAGTAGATGAGGCCATCTGATGCAAGAGGTATACAATCAGAGGGGCTTTTGTAAAAAAATCACTGAACGCAAAATGTTACAGTAGTCTCAGCACTCAATCACAGCATACTTGCCGGGCCCCAGTTGCGGGACTTATACCTCTCATAATCAAAGTGTACGAAGACAGTGAACAAGGATAAACACGGACATATTTAGCACATGCATCTCAACCTTCTCGTTTGCACAACTACTCTCTGGCGAACTCATACAGCCTTGTTCGCTGTGGGCGGAAGAGCTTGTCAGGCGTCATGGGTCTGCTAATTCCGTTCTCCACTAGTTGTTAAAGAGTGTAGGCGACAACAATCGGTGGAAAATAACTGACGCAATCAATACTGTGCAGTCCTATCCCTTGCACACTTCAACAACTGATGCAAAGCGGTTTGGCACCGCGGCAAACTCATCCCACCTGACACTCCCCTT